AAAAAAAAAAAAAAAATTAACCAGGCATGGTGGCATGTACCTGTAGTCCCAGCTACAGCACAGCATGTCCCAGAATTGACTATGAGTTTCTGAATTTGAGTTATTATTACTTTTAAGGCTGACTAGCATAAGGAAGAGGGCCCAGTGGTATCAGGTAGTACTTTACTGTTTCTCTCACCAAAAATCAATGAATGAGGTAAGACATTTTATAGTCATAGGAGCTGCTGGCTCACTGAAACCTGGCCTAAAGTGAAAAAAAACCTGTGGCAAGCTAGTCTCTAAAATGTGAGGGTACTTTTAGAGTCAGAGTTTATCAGGTTAAAGCAAATTTACTTATTTATTCAAGATAGGGTCTCACTCTTTTGCCCAAGTTGGAGTTCAGTTGTGCTACCATGGCTCACTGCAGCTTCAACTTCCTATGCTCAAGCAATTCTTCCACCTGAGTCCCTAGTAGCTGGAACTAAAGGCACATGCCATCACACTTAGCTAATTTTTCTCTTTTGTGAAGACAGGGTCTCATTTTTTTTTAACTTCTAGCCCCAAGCAATCCTGCCACCTCAGCCTCCAGGGCATGAGCCACCATGCCTGGCCAAAATAATGTAGTAACTATATTTTCAACCTGCTTTGGACTTCAACAATGTGAAAAACTGACATGAATTTAATGTCCTAGCCCAAATCCTACCACTTCCACCCATCTTCCCATCCACATAAACTCTATAAAACAGAGTTGGTGGCCAGGCGCGGTGGCTCACACCTATAATCCCAGCACTTTGGGAGCCCACAGGTTCAAGACCAGCCTGAGCAACTTGGTGATACCCTCATCTCTACAATAAATCAAAAAATAGCCAGGCGTGGTGGCATATGCCTGTAGTTCCAGCTACTTGGAAAGCTGAGGCAGAAGGATCACTCAAGCCCAGCAGGTCAAGGCTGCGGTGGCCATGAGCGTGCCACTACACTCCAGCCTGGGTGACAGTGAGACTTTAACTCCAAAAAAAAAAGAAAATAGAGTTGGACAACCCTCGTGTAAACAAGTTGGTGGAGGTAGGAGGGGCAACCCAAATGTAAACAAGTGCAGGGTTGACACTTGTTTCTCTTATTCTCCTATTCTTCTAGTACCTTTCCTAAATTAGTTTTCTGATCCCAAAGAAACTCATGGTATCTTGATGGTATGGCTGGTCTGGGTTAAACAGCTGTTATTCTGACAGATCATTACCCATTGTAACCTGCTTCAACAACCTTATAGTCCAATGTACTCCCTTATATCAGGAACCCTGAGAACGCCCTACCAGCCTGGAAGCCAAACATGCAACTTCCTTCCAGTGGCCCGTTAAATCAAATAATATATTCTATAATACAACACTCTCCCTTTCTCCCTTCCTCTAGGTTAGAAGTAATCTCATTCCAAAACATTCAAAACAAAATGAATTCTCACTAGGAAATTCTGAAAATACCCTCCACATGATGTCTACTAGTCAGTCTCCTCTTCATTCACTAGATGAAACTCTTTTTTTTTTTTTAGAAAGGGTTTTGCCTTTTTGCCTTACCACATACCTGATGATGAAGCTGAAGTCCTGTTAAAAGTGTCTCCATTTGCTCCAGAAGAATACATATCCTGTAAGAAGAAAAGACTAGTTTTCTACTCTAAATAAGAACGTGCCATTTCTTTCAAAAATACTAGAAAATGAAAACAATGGAGCTTTGTTCAGAACAAAACAATGATAAACCAAGGTTTTCTGGATCACCTAGATGTTCCTTTATTAATTATTCCAAGACATCTTCTCTCTACCATCTTATCTTTACCACTGTATATATAACATGCTGATATGCATATGACTTAAAAGTATAGTCAGAAAACTACTGCCATAAGCCAAATCTGGTGGGCCATCTGTTCCTGTAAATAGTTTTATTGGAGCACAATCATCGCCCTTCATCTAGGTATATCTAGGGCTACTTCTGCCCCACAACAGCAAAGTTGTGACACAGATGCAAGGCATGCAAAGGCTAAATTATTTACTATCTGACCCTTCATAGAAAGAGTTTACTGACACCTGACTAAAAAGTTTAGTCATGTAAGGCACCCATATACTTGAAAAGTGTATTTAAGTTCTATTACAATTTTTCAAAAATGTTTGAGTCAGGATCTTACTCTGTTGCCCAATCTGGAGTGCAGTGGCATGATCACAGCTCACTGCAGCCTACAATTCCTGGGCTCAAGCAGTCCTCCTGTGCCAGGCTCCTGAGTAGCTGGGACTACAGGCATGCACTATCATACCAAGCTAATTTTTTTATTTTTGTAGAGGTCTTGCTATGTTGTCCAGGCTGGTCTTGAACTCCTGGGCTCAAGCAATCCTCTTGCCTCTACCTCCCAAAGTGCTAGGATTACAGGTGAGAGCCACCATGCCCAACCATTATATAAAATTTGACCAAAGTAATATAAGAATAAATCATTGCCTGCCAATATACAATACTGTTTGCAGAGTTCCAGATATTACAGTATACTCATCAATACTGCACAGAGTAGATTAGTGGGTAACAATTTCTATAGTCAAGTATTACAGAAATTTTTTTTTTTGAGTTGGAGTCTCACTCTGTCGCCACTCCCGGCCACCACAGCCTCGACCCACTGGGCTCCGGCGATACTTCCGCCTCAGCCTTCCAAGTAGCCGGAATTACAGGCATGCGCTACCACGCCCGGCTGATTTTTTGATTTATTGTAGAGATGAGGTCTCACTGCCCAGGTGGGTCTCGAACCCGCGGGCTCAGGCAATCCACTCACCTCAGCCTCCCAAAGGCAGCCTCCCAAAGGCTCAGCCTCCCATTGGCTCAGCCTCCCAAAGGCGCAGGATTATAGGCTGAGCCACCGAGCCCGGCGTACTACAGAAATTTTAAAAACCTCCTCGGTGCTTATATAAAGTGAAACAAATTAATGCATTCACATTTTTTTTAAAAATTCACTATTAGACTTCCCAGTATCCAGAACTGTGGGAAATTAATTTTTATGAATTACCCAGTCTTCCGCATTCTGTTACAGCAGCACAAAGTAAACTAAGGCAGCTCTCTTTGTGAAAATTCATAAAGTTGTACAACTTATGATTGTATATTTTTTTAATAATTGCTACAGTAGGCCGGGCTCGGTGGCTCAGCCTGTAATCCCAGTGCTTTGGGAGGCCAAGGTGAGTGGATTGCCTGAGCCTGCGGGTTCAAGACCCACTCGGGCAACTTGGCGAGACCTCATCTCTACAATAAATCAAAAATTAGCCAGGCGTGGTAGCGCGTGCCTGTAGTTCCAGGTACTAGGAAGGCTAAGGCGGAAGGACCGCTGGAGCCCAGTAGGTCGAGGCTGCAGTGGCCGGGAGCATGCCACTGCACTCCAGTCTGGGCGACAGAGTGAGACTCGAACTCAAAAAATAATAATAATAATTGCTACATAAAAAGGTTCCAATTTATCACTACCACAAACATCAAAACAAGAACAATGGAGTCGGGCTCGGTGGCTCAGCCTGTAATCCCGCGCCTTTGGTAGGCTGAGGTG